GGCCAAGTCTTGCTTAATTAATCGCCCTGCGTCTCCGGCCTTCCTCTCTGGGGGAAGGTTTGCCGAGGACGTTTATGGCGAGGCGGCTCTTGGCATTACCTGGAATCCTCAGATTTTCCTCCACCCCTTTTCACAGTCTGGTTTTGCACCTTGGGAATGATACGGAGCCCGTGCTGGGATGGATCCGAAGATCTCCTCCTGCCGATGGACAAAGGTCAGGTGCCCGTGCTGACTCATTTTGATCTGCCGGCAGCCTTTGATACCGTTGATCATGAGGAGATGTGGACGTGCCTGCGGACCTTGGCAGGGGTAGATGGAGTTGCACTTGAGTGGTCCCGGTCTTTTGGGGGTTTAATTTTTTTTTGTTTTTTAATTATTTTTAAATTTAATTGTGCTGAGAGATCCCAGAGGTTTGCACCTCGTCCGCCCCGAGGGCTTTCTCTTTCTGCTGTGGGGTACCGCAGGGTTTTTAGCTCGCCCTCCTGTTCAACGTGTATGAGAGGCCGGTTTACGGGGAGAGACGGCCATCCTACGCCAACAAACTCCCGGCTCAAAGTCTCTTTTCACTGGCCTCAGAGGGTGCAGTCGCAGTTTTTATATTTTTAGGTTTGTTATTTTGCTAGAGTTTAGCAGAGACTGGGCTTGACGAGAGCTAGCTCAGTCCAAGTTTAGACCCAAAATAAAACCATGACGCCGGCGGGATGGGGGAAACATCGGCTCCCCCGTGGCGGGGGGATGTGCGTGGGCATCTGCCTGCCCCGTCTGCAAACAAGGGGTTCTCTCCTGCCAGATCCTGGGCTGTTCCCGGATTCCCGGGGAACAAGCAAGCAGCCAAAAGCGCTTCTTTTCATCTTCGCCTGGCGGAGGAGGTTGCGACCTTTCCTCTCTCTCTCGGATGCGGATCTCGCCCATTAAACCCACGCCGGACCCGCGGATGCTGCCAGGTGCTTTAGGCCCCCGGCTCGGCTGTTCGGCTGGGGTGTTCTCTGCCACTTCCCAAGCGAAGAGGAGGGGAAAAAATAAAAACAATAAAGGGGGGAGGGGGGGAGGCTAACGAGGGTGTTTCAGCTCACGGGAATCGGACGCGCCCTGCCTTGGGGTGCTCTGTCATTCGGTCGAGCTGCCGAGAGCGCCGCAGAGCCCGGCTCTTTATACAGGGTAAAAATTCCCCCGCTCAGCGCGGGGTCAGCGAGTGGGCCGGGAGTCATCCGGGTCGGATTCGATCCCGGTGGGCTTCCCAACCTACACACTCGCTTCCCTGCGCCAGGGGGCAGGGAAACCTGGTGTCCCCCTCCCAAGGCCACAGCTCGAGGGGTGGCTTTGGGGAACTGAAGTTCCTTTTGTGATTTTGTTTTTCTTTAATTACATTTCCGTTTCGGACGGTTCCGTCACTGATCTACGCACGCCTGGGAACGAGAGTAGGTACGGTCTGCGAGTTCCATCAGATCAAAAACACGCAAAGTGGGTAAACCGCCTACAGAGAAAAGAAACCAGACTCCACATTTAGAGATAAAAAGGCAGCGGAGTGGAACCTTACGCTTCCTTCCCCACCGTACGCAGCAGGACGTCCCGTCACCGACACGCAGCGCACAGCGAGACGCGGCTCCGTGCTGCTCCGGGAACTGGGCAGGGGTTGCTGCCTCTTCTCGTTCACTCACCTTGAGGTATTTTTCCAGCATCTTGACGATGTGTTTGTTATTCAGGACGCTCTTGGCGACATGTAAGCTGGTTTTCTTGAATTGTTCTGCGGCCATCTGAAAAGGAACCGAACAGTGGGGGTAGTTCACAAGGGGAAGGGTTTGAGCGAGGCGTTTAGCTCCCAGTTTCTCTCCCCTCCTCCTCCGCAGGGCTCGGCAAGCCTCATCGCAGATCCCAGCAAACATCGCCAAAAGCGGATGCGAGCGAGCACCCGCATCTCTTCCGCTAACACGAGCCCTGGAGAAAGATGCGTTTCTGTGCCGGCAGCTGGAACGTTCCCCCAGCCACCCCGAGATCATGTCCAGGACAGCGACATTCACCTCAAAGACAGAGGAGACGCAGCCCACCGCGAGGGAGGTGCGGCGCTGACCGCGGCTCACCCCGTCTCCACCTGCAACATCCCAAGCCCCACTCCTGCCTGGGCCCGTTTAGACATCAATTACACCTCAATTTATGAATTCCCCGGGCGCCCTCAAAGCCAATTTTTCATTTGAATTTCTAGCAAGCGCCGCAAGTTTCAAAAGAGGAAGCGTTTCGTCTGCACGTTTACGCAGCACGCCCGGGCAACGTACCCACAGCGCGAACGAAAAAGCCGGATCTCCCTTTTCACATCACTTTTTCTGTTCACCTCCCACTTCTCATCCGCTCGCACAGGAGAACAAACCCCGCGCAGCCCGTCCGGAAGCGGCCCCCAACCCCTCAGCAGGTCCCCGGGCAGCGGCTTCATCTCGGCTTCATCTGGTAGCGCGATCCCACAGCAAAGGTTTTTTTAGAAGCTGCAAATAAACCCCGAGCAGCGAAGGGAAGCGAGGGGGGGGGAGTTGCTCACCCTGCGGTTTCTGTTGTGATCGGCAGATCGCAGGTGCTGCTGGAGAAGGTGGTTCTGCGCTGGAATTAACATGTCGCACGCCAGGCAGTGAGCCGCCTCGATCTTCTTGAAGAAGTGTTCCTGGCCAATACCTACAGCGGCGACGAGACGTCAGCCAAAATCCCAAACGAAGGAGACGGCGGGGCCGGTTAACGTTGCCTTTCCGCCCCCTCTACCGACCCCGCGTCACTGCCAACGCGCTAATTCAGCACCCACATTCCTTCCAGGTTCTGCTTTCAGAGATTTTTGGTTTTTTAATCACGTGCGTTGCTCTAAGATGGGGAGGAGTTATTCTGCTGTAAAACAGATCGTACTGACGCAGCACCCCAGCGCCGGAGGGAGAGAAATGCGGAGAACAGCCCGAGGTACGAGGAAAGTGACCGAGTGCCTCGGTCCGAGCTGAAACCAGGCTGCCGCTCCAAAAATCTATTTAATAAAAGGTGGAAGGAACAGCTCGTGCTTCCCCCATCTCTCGGTTCGTTCCTCCTCTCTACTTAGGCTCAGGTTTTCTGCCTGCAAGATTTTATAGGCGACGTGCTGCTTTGAATTAAACTCCACTCGTCGCTCCCAGTACTGAGGGGCTGTAGCAGGGACACGCACGTTGGCCAGACCCAGTTAATTTCCCCCCCCATCATGCTGTTGCTACAACAGATCAACTTTGCCACTTTTAATGTTAAAGATGAACACAAGATCCAGGTGTGTTAACCGAAGAGCCAGAAAAATCAACAATTCCTGCCGGTTTTCCCCCGTTGACGTGATTTTAGGATCTCTGACATCGCACAAGCCGCGTGACTCTGCAGCTTGAGGAGCTGCAGCGAGGACGGGCATTCCCCCGTCCCCACCGAGATGATTTACGTCACAAAGTTCGCAAAAAAGCCACCCTGAACCCGAGGCTGAGTTACCCAAATCCTTCACATTTGTGCTGTTGTCCCTGTTTGGGAGCAAAATTTGTTTTCTTGCACGCTCGCTCGGTCTCCGGACGCAGAAGGGACACTTACCCTTAAAAGGATCCGGCTTCTGTTTTGTGCCCTCTTTCTCAGTCAGCTCCTGGCGCCGCTTCTCGATTTTCTTATTCCTGTTGACGATGTACTCCTAGAAAAGAGGACCAAACCTCGCTGTCCTTCTCACAATGTGCCGAGATGATCGAGCAGCTCAACAGGGAAATGAGCTCTCCAGAGAAAACCCGCAGGGAAGACGAAGGTTGGTGAATTAACTAGACGAGGCGGGTGTTTGCCTCTCGTTTCTACCAGAGCAAGAGTCGGAAAGATCCAAAGCGGATTCAGAGCAAGAACCAGACAGAAGCCTGCTCCCACATCACCACCAGATTCCCTGTGGGAGACCCCAAATCCTTGAAAAAAGGCCCCCAAAACACAAACACCGGTCATCGAGAAAACAAAACACCCTGATCTTATTTCGCCTTCCTCAGCTCTACATGTGTAGACAGCGAAGACGATCTCTGGAATAATGAATTTCTGGCCTTTGTGTTCAAATTTATACAATTAACTTCCCCTCCCAACACGACAAGCCATGAGAAATCACGTCACGCGAACCAACGGCATCGGGCGATGCGGTAACAAGCGGTGATGCCAGCTAACCAAGCAGTGGGCTGTATGTGAAGGAGTCTGTAACACCTTCCACCCTCCAGGTAAGCCCAGAAAGCCCCAATCCCTCCAGCCCAGAAAACCCCAATCCCTCCAGCCCAGAAAACCCCAATCCCTCCAGCCCAGAAAGCCCCAATCCCTCCAGCCCAGAAAGCCCCAATCCCTCCAGCCCAGAAAGCCCAGCACGGAGGCAGGGAAGGGTTGAGCTAAGGCTGGGCAAGCCCCGTACCTGCAGAAACTCGACTGTTTTATCCGGGAGTTTGGTCCCGATGTATCGCAAGGTCTCTTTGTGAAACTTGCTCTGGAGGTGTTTTTGAATCTCCTCTTCCTCAAAACTGCGGAACTTGCAGACGGAGCAGGCAAACTGGATTCTAAACAGAGCAACGGTACCGCAAATGAGGAACGAGCTGAGCTTAACGAGAACATCCAGACGACGAGAGCGTTACTGCCCCGCTGTAGTTTTCCACCTCTTGGTTTTTTCCAAGTGCTGCCTCAGACAATTTTACTTTGTCATGGACCTTTCTAATCCCTGCAGAACCTGCCCGGATCAAACAGCACCTACTTCTCCAGAAAACTTTATGCTACGGGATCAGCCACTAAAATCCTGCACAAGTTTAAAAGCAACTGGAGAAATTCATAGGGCGGGAGGTGAATCGGCACTCTCCAACATGAAAATCCTCTCCCTGGTGTGGGAAAGCCCCGAGATACAGAAACACTGGTGCCACCTTCCCTGCTCAGTCTGTCTTTAGATCACTTCTGGTATTATTTTAACAGCAAGGCTGCATTAACAGCCACTTCAAGCAGCCTTCTGAATTTATAACTCTACACTGATCTGCTCATTAAACACCACAGCATTCTCCTCATCTTAA